ACATAGATTATATAGCCAAAAGAGCATACAAAATGTTGGGTTTCGTTCTCAGATCATGTTCTCAGTTTACAAGTATAAAAGTATTAAAAGTCCTTTACTGTTCATACGTCCGCAGTATACTGGAGTATGGTTCCCAGATCTGGAATCCACTTTACGATGTTCACATAAATAGACTTGAGGCCATACAGCGAAAATTCATGAAATTTCTACAGTACAAATGCAAAGTGTTTGACGTCAACTATGAGACAAGATGTAGAAAACACCACATATTGCCATTACAAACAAGAAGGACAACCTCAGACATAGTTCTCTTGGGCAAAATTGCCCAATCAAAAATAGATTCCCCATACCTTCTTTCTAAACTTCAATTGCGAGTCCCTAATAAGTCAATAAGACTTCAACCAACATTTACCATTGCACGCAGTGGTACAAATTATAGAAAAAACTCATATTTTATTAGGTCGGCAAAAGCTTTCAATCGGCTGACTGGCTTTTCAGATGTGGACATTTTCTGTTCAAATTCAGCTGCTTTCAGAAAGGCCGTATTAGACTTTTGGCTAGAGTCGGTTCCCACACAATAAAAAGATAAATTGAGTTACTTAAGAGGTTAACAATTGCATTATTATTATTTCTTTTTTCTTTTATATAGAATTCTTCACATTATTAAAGCGTTATAAAACAATAATTTTATAAGTGAAAGCATGTAATTGGTGAACTGTAATCGTTACAGTATTTTGTACTAGATTTATTATCACTGTTTGTTTTCCTAATAAAATAAAATAAAATAAAATAAAATAGTTTTACTATCCATTGAAAACACAGAGTTATTTTCTACAGAACACGACACTGAAAATTGGTACGTAGACAGCGGCGCAACAAGTCACGTCACCAATAGAGGCGATATACTTCGGAACTACGAGAAGTTTGTCGATGCTCATACTGTCAAGACTGCTAACGGTAATACGATTCGTGCCGAAGGTAAAGGGACAGTGATAATCGACGCAATTGTAAGAGGGAGACAACGCGTCACTCTACAAGAAGTTTGGTACGTTCCGGCGATAACGAAAAACTTGTTTTCCGTTCCTTCGTTTCATGATAAAGTTCCAAATAGCTTATTCTCATCAAGGACAGAGGAATGTATAGCCAATGTCAACGGAGAAGTGACGCTAGTAGGAAAACGTCAGAAAGAAGGTGGTCTCTATCGATTAGAAATTGCAACTCTTCGGAGGCTTACCTATTGTATCTGAAGTAAATACGACAACAGCCACCATGCAAGTCTACCACGAAAGGCTAGGTCATCAGTAAACTAAAAAGAGGCACGTGAAAGCCACCATAAAACGAGAACTGGGCCTAGATCTCCCAATGGATAACGAAACTTGCGAGGTCTGCGCCTATGGAAAAGCTCATAGATTAAAATTTGGAACTAGAACTCGAGGCGCGGTAGCGCCTGGAGAATTAGTTCATGCTGACGTCTGTGGACCGTTTGTACCAAGTTTTTCCAAATATCAGTACTACGTTTTGTTCAAAGATGACTTCAGCAGTTATCGTATGGTATATTTTATGCGCCATAAGTCGGAAGTCAAAGATAAGCTAGTTTTGATGCTTTCACAATTAAAAACAGTGGGACGTACTGTGAAGTGTTTACTAAGTGACAATGGCGGAGAGTTTGACAATAAGGCTATGAAGACATTGTTAGATTCACATGGCATCAAACACCGGCTGGCATCAAACACCGGCTAGTCACACCGTACACGCCGGAACAAAATGGGGTAAGCGAAAGGGAAAACAGAACTCTTGTTGAAACTGCGAGGGCATTGATGTATGCACACGGAGAAATGCCGCAACAGTTGTGGGCAGAACTTATTAATACAGCTGCATACATTCTTAATCGGACTGGCCTATCAAGAGTTCCTGACAAGACTCCGTACGAATTATGGAGTGGAAAGAAACCAATTATTAAACACTTGAGAGTGGTTGGAAGTACGATTTATGTCCACATCCCAAAACAAATAAGGAAGAAATTAGATAAAAAATCTATTAAGGGCAAGCTTATAGGATATGATGAAGACTGTTATCGTATTTGGATCACTGATGGCAAGAAGCACACAGTTTTACGTTCTCGTGATGTCATATTTAATGAGGTCCCAATAAATTAAGCAGTATATACTGAAGTCCCGAAATCAGAACAAACACGAGAGTACATCATTCCGTTGAATCATTCAGCGTCAGTAACATCTAATATTGATATTGAACACCACGTCAATCATGAACACCGTCTTGAGGGAGAAACCTTGATAGAAGACAATGTTAATGATATCGAAGAAATGCTAAAAGATAACGTTAATGATTGTACTGACGAATTCGTGATCGTAGCAAAATGAAACATCCGGCTAGATTCGATGATTTCATATGTCTAACAGAAATTTTTCCAACCAGTTTCGCTAATGCCATGAAACAAGATGACAGCGAACAATGGAAAATGGCAATGGACAGTGAAATGAAGTCACTGAAGGATTTAAATGTTTGGACGTCTTGCATGTTGCCCAAGGGTAGGAAAGCCTTACCCTGTAAGTGGGTTCTACGAATCAAAAGAAATCCGGATGGCACTATAGATAAATACAAAGCCAGACTAGTTGTGAAGGGTTTCAAACAGAGAAAAGGCTTAGATTTTGACCAAACTTTCAGTCCTGTTGCCCGTCTTGCAACTGTTAGAACTTTATTAAGTGTAAGTGCACAGGAAAACTTACATCTTGTTCAATTTGATGTATGTACCGCTTTCCTAAATGGCAAGTTGTTAGAAGAAATATCCGTTCAACAACCAGATGGCTATACCGATGGAAAATAAAATGTTTGGAAGCTAAATAGAAGTTTATATGGCCTAAAACAAGCTCCAAGGTGTTGGAACTCCTATTTTGAAGAAATACTACTCGATATGGACTTTGAACTTAGGACGTAAATAATTTTGGAACTTTACATAGTAAATAAAAAAAAACTTATTTCTTATAATTTGCATGAAAATTATAGGTACTTGTATATTTCCTTGATAGGAAAGAAATCATGTCAAGACGACGGTTTCCTACAACGTTACATTCTAATTATCTTCTAGCTACAGCGATTTGAAATTTCGTCCATGTATTAGGGGAGACCGAGGTTGGTTGACCAATTTTCAGCTTAAAGGTTTCTATTTTTATTTCTTTCGAGTATATTAATTTAAAAATACATTAAGTTTATAGATTAACTAGTAAGCTTTGGAAAAACGTGGCAAAAAGCACGTTATTCATTATGATGTAGGATACAGGTCAGTTCTTGTACAATAGGAAAAGCTGGTCAACCTACCTAATGCTTGGGGTTGGTTGACTATTCGACTGGGGTAAGTTGACCTATAAAGTTGTAAGAGCAAAATCAACAAGGAAATGGGAAAACACAAACACAAAAAAATAATTTATTGAAATTAATAAGCGATCTTACGCTACTTCAATTAAACACAACAAAATTCAAACTATAAGGAAACAATTAGACGCTTTATTTAAAAGAAAACGAAACAACTTCTTATAAACTTTAACCATTTGGTAACAAATAATCATGTGTATCTTAATTTTATTTATTTAATGTAATTATATTTATTTTAATTATTTTCGTTATATTTACGACGTGGCGGTGAAGTGTTTTATATGGTATAGCAAATTCTTTCACTGTAGAATTTATACTTTTTTTGTTAAAGATAAGTTGTTGACATGCTCTGTCTATTACATCTTTGGATGTGGTCCCTCTATTAGTCTTTCTTTTGTTTATTCGCATGGTCCTGAAACAACTATTTTTGGATAAAATTTCAAAAACACCTACTTCATTTTATATGTGGAGTATTCATAATATTACGGAGATGGTTGACCAGGTAGTCAACCAGCCCCGTTATGCATTCATTAGTCTACTAGCCTTGAAACACCTTTTAATTTTTAACCACATGCCATAACTCAATTCAGCGAATAAAAGAAAGAACATAAATCACACATTCGTTATAAATTATTTTACAATCAATAACCATGAATAAAAAGGCATTATTACAAATAACATTACGACAAAAATAATTACTTACGTACGTTGTTTTTCAATATTATGCTCGTTCTCTGAAACGACAAGCATACCTTACGCCGCGTTCCCGGTGACCAAGCGGGGGGAGGTAACGGACTCTCGCGACACACTACCGCGTTCAAGGCTATTGCGACAGCCGAGTTTTTGAAAGTTAGTCAACCTACCCCTATAGTCAACCAACCCCGGACTCCCCTACTTTGTTTATGTAACGACGTTTTTCGCAGTTGCTTGTGAAGCAATACAGGATAGCCATGCTCATTAGTAGCACGAAAGCATGTAAAATGCTACTAATGAGCATTTGCTCATTAATTTTGGTTTAATTTTGAGTATGCTTATTACTGGAAACGTTACCATGCTAGTAATAAGCATGCTCAAAAATCTACTCCCGTTTTATTTTCGGGCATGCTTCCTGAGGTGGGTGGAAGTGGGTGTACTTTAAGCACGTCTTTACAGGTTTATGAGCATGCTTACTATACTTTCACTTGCTTTTTGTAACTTATGGATCAACTTTATAAAGTATTTAGGCATACTTACGAATTTGTGAGTACGTCATATATAAGCAGTTTTTCTACAAGTAAAAGAGCGTGCTCATTTGAGCATGCTTCTTAGCCATCAATTAGCATGCCATTTATGATTATCTGTTAGTACTTTTCCTGACAAGGACGCACCTATAGCGTCGAGCTAATAATAGAGCGAGACAGCATATGCGAAACGGTGCCATACAACTGACAAGTTTTTTGCTGTTTTGCTTTCGCGTGTGATTGTAATATCGACGTAAATGGCATGAAGAAATATCAGTTTTCGTATTTTCATTTGATCATTCGAAATCGAATAATTTGTGTGGCCTAATATCGAACCGTGATGTTGTAAATATATCAAAACGAATCCTGTCTATAAAATGTCACTAAAATATCTTTAAGCATTTTTAAAATATTTTTTGCAAGGTCTCTGTCTCATGAAACAGTCGATCGTTTGTATATATGAAAATTTAGATATTCAATACTTTGAACTTCGATAAAACGACTAATTGATTAAATAATTTAATATTCTTTATTTTATTATCCTATGAGACGTAAGAAACGTATTCCATGTACATATATATTGGTTGGGTAAAATAGCAATAACAAAAATTCTCAACACTTTTTGTTTCAGGTGTTCACCGTGTGGTCCCATGGTATGCTACAAATATGAAGACTGCGGTCCACCAGTATGCTCTTTTTTTTTAACAAATACTTAGCTTACTATCAATAAATTACTATTCTAATTCATGTCATATCTATGATGCTCAGCTCCAGTGCCTGCCACGGTCTGCTTTCAAGCGTAATGGACTACAAGATTGCCAGTACTTCCAGCAGGGCTCAATCCGATACTTATGCCGGTCAGATCCCTGCTGTCCACGGCCATGTCCACCACCATGTCCTCCATGCGTTCGTCGCCCGCCTCCTGGCAAGACCTACGTTACACGATTCAGCGATTTTGACCTAGTGTCACAATGGTAGACCACAACACCCTGTTTTCTTCTACCGCTAGAACTTGGTAATATTTGATCACTACCTCGATGGACCGTGACAGGCTGTATATGTGATAGTTGTAAAGATTCCGATATATTTCAGAAAGGAAAAACCGCAGAAGGGGTTTCTAAAGGCGAGGAGGGTGGCGCTGAAAAAAAGGATGAAAAAGAAAATCAGCTGAAAAGAACCAAAAGCCGGGAACTGCGGGGAGGGGTCATGTATTATAGCTGCCATTGCATCAAACGAAATGGACTTCAGCATGATTGCCGTCGAACCGGTTGCGGTGGCGAGCCGGCTTGTTTGGTATTACCTGATCCAGTGTGTGCTCCGAGTCAGCTAGCTCGCGCTCGAGGCCTTGCAGACCCTGCACCTTTTGCAGCACATCTTAATGCACAAGGTGGTGGTGCGTCTGGAAGCGCCGCAGATTCTGGCTCTAGTGGCGGAAAAAAGTTTATAGTATGTGAACTGAAAGGAATCGTACCAGACATATCGACGGACAAAGGAGGCAAATGCTGTAAGTGTCCAGTTTCTACACAAGGTTCTATTATCACTTCTGTCAATGTAAAAACTGATCATCATCCAACCATTTCTAAATGTCCCTGCGGCGCAAACTCTGGCAGAGCTGATGTTCAACCACCGCTTGTTCTTGACAAGAAACTCATAGAATCTATATTAAAATGTTTTGAGGCTAAAGAATTGGCTCAAAATGATATAGTTTTAGGACCAGGTGGCCGTGTTCGGAAAACTTCAACATCCATTAAAAAGGATGAACCTTGTACGAGACCAGGTTGTATACACTGGCAACCGCCGCCGCCTTGTATGTGGGATGCTCCTTGCAAAGCAGACTGTTTTGAAGCTCGGCCGGGAATCCAACCTGGCCGTAATCAAATGAAAGAGGGCGGTGTTCTTGGTGTAAACCAACCATTGGGACAAGATGTTGGAGAACTAAATAAACCTCATCAAATAAACCAACCTATAAAATTATTAACACCAAACTGTTGCACAGGTTGCTCTACGTCGGGAGGCGGTGGCGGTCCATCGAGCAGTGGTGGCCAAATGGCAGGCCTGCCCGTAATGGTGATGAAGCTCTGTTAGCATCTAGCTGAAGTTCTAAAAGCTTAAGAAAAAGTGAAAACTACCAATAGGTACCATTACTTATCAAATAAATGTTTTTTTTATTCATTGTTTTTTATTCATTGTAGTTTCAGTGAGAAACATCTTAATTTTCTTTAATACCTTTATATTGTCACGCAAAGACTACTGGACCGAACTTAAAAAGATTTAGTTTATATGGGTTTAGCATTAAAGCTCTTAGTAATGACTGATGAATTTGTATGTATGATTGAGAAGTTCGCGGCCTCGGCAAGAAAAGAATATAAAATATAAGTAAAAGTAATTTTGTTTTTACACGTAATCTCCACTAACTCTATGCACTTCTTCCATCTGGTTTCGAACGCCTGTATGCCGGTAATAAAAGTTTCTTCAAGGCCTTTCACCCACCGCAACTTCGACCTCCTCATTTGAAAAATTTTTGACCTCCAAGGTGTTTTTTTAGGTTTGGTAATAAATGAAAATCTGAAGGTGCCAAATCAGGGGAATAGGCGGGATGGGGCAGTAATTCAATGCCACAATCAAGAGTTTGAGCTATAGATTCAACAGACGTGTGAACGCATGCATTATCCTGATGGAATAACACTTTCTTGCTGAGTAATCCTGGCCTTTTTTCTTTTATTGTGTCGTGCAAGCGATGTAAGAGGGTGCAGTAATAAGCCGAGTTTATAGTTTCACCTTTTGCAAGGTAGTCCACCATGATGACATCATGGTGGACATGATGGCATCCCAAAAAACTGACGCTATCACCTTGCCAGCTGACAAAATTGTTTTGGCTTTTTTTGGAGTCGGTTCATCATGTTTCTTCCACTGCTTGGATTACTGTTTAGACTATTGGGTGTAGTGGTGTACCCAAGTTTCATCCATCGTTACAAATCTGGATAAAAAATCTCGTTGATCAGCCTCAAACATTTCCAAACAGTCGTGAAAAATCGTGAGGCGTATTCGTTTTTGTTCGACTGAAATCAAGTTCATTAACTATGATGTTTTGTGTCGTTTATATGAGATGCCAATAGTGTTTGCAATCTCCCTGATGGTCAATCTCCGATCTGCCAATATCAGAACACAAATTTTCTCGATGTTTCCTTCAGTCGTAGACGTCATAGGCCGGCCAGAGCGAGGGTCATCTTCAATACTCTCTCGTCCGCGTTTAAATTCAGCAACCCACTTTTTCACAGTCGTATACGACGGAGCAGATTCCCCCAATGTTGTTGAGTCGTATACGACGGAGCAGATTCCCCCAATGTTGTTGACATATCTTCGTGAATCTTTTTTGGAGTTAGTTTTTTTTAACAGGTATTTGATGACCGCACGTTGCTCAATTTTCTCCATTCTTTAAAAATGCTGCACAAAGGCTCACAAAATTCAGTCTAATTTAAATACAGTTAATGCTATTGCGATTAAATTTTACAATTTGACAAGCAGAGAGTAAACTAATCGAATGAAGTCAGTTACATTAAAATTTAGTATAAATCTCTACTCATAATATACATGAAATATTTTCCATGTTCCATGTGGCTCCTCAATTCAGATGTTTAGATTGAGGAGCCTCCTTTACGTTGATATACATCTAGATATCTACAAAGTAATAACGAGAATAAAATAATGTGACTTGCGATATCGATATAATAATCTAAATATAAGTATATAACTCAAAGGTGACTGACTGACATAGTGATCTATCAACGCACAGCTCAAACCACTGGACGGATCGGGCTGAAATTTGGCATGCAGGTAGATGTTATGACGTAAACATCTGTCAAGAAAGGATTTTGATCAATTCCTATTTTATCTATTTTATCCCCAAGGGTATAAAATAGGGGATGAATGTTTGTATGAAACTTTGTCAATTTTAAACCGATTGGGCTGAAACTTTGCATGCATAAAGCTACGAGGCATCCCCTAAGAAAGGATTTTCATAAATGAAACTTTATTTCAGGTGTTTCACACGATATTCGTTAGTAATGCTGCTCAAAGTTATTTTACCACGCGGACGAAGTCGCGGGCAAAAGCTAGTTAAAACCTAATTTTGTGCTGTTTCTGGTGGTATTATGTGGTCGTAATATAAGATAAAATAAATATTCTGCTATATTTTATTTAAGTACTTAAAACTGTTTTCATATAAACAAATCGTTATTCAGTAACGTCTTAGAGGTTTTGTGCAGATGTTAAGATCAGAAATGTAAGGATAAAAAATGTCTACTATTGTTTCCGTGAAAGATATGAGTAATCTAGAGTATTCCATTTACATACTGTGCCAATTATGCCCAGTTACATGCTGTACCTAAATATAGAAAAATAATAGTTGTTTTATGTATTATAAATAAAACACATGTAAAATTATAATTTTATTAATAATTTTACTTGGAGATCCGCATGCATGTATGTATGTCAGAAAGAGCATTTTTGTAGAATAAATGCGGAGATATATTTGTTACGTAGAATTTGCGGAGATAAAGATAAAATTAACTCGTACTGAAGGTAGCGTCGGTATAAAAATCAACAGAAACATGCTCCGTTGTTCGAACATGTAGAAAGAATGACATAACTGATAAACAACGCGGAAATTGAAAGACGGAAGCCGAGGCAGGCCATGATACATCTGTCTCGATCAAATCAATCACATGCTCATAGAAGGTGTTGTCAGGAGCCATAAAAACCAGCGAGTGTGTATTGTTAGAGTAATGAAAGATGTAATAAGGACCGTACATTGTGGCGTTCGGTCCTCTCTGCCTACCCTGCAAGGAACATGGCGTGAACATATAGATAGATAGACTGCGTGGACAAATTTTAGCGTGTCAAGATAAAGGTAAATGCATACATCCTATTGACGAAGATCCCTTGCACAGTACGACAAAGAACGGATTTCTGTTTGAATTGAAAAGTCGGACGTATTCCTAAAGCATCAAATATGAATCTTTACAAATCCATTCCGTAATGCATATTCCTTCATTCGACCCGCACTTTTGATCGATAGACGATAAAAATATACATCACTATTTTTTTTTTAAATAAGATAGTATAGTCTAGTCTTAGCATAACAATGCTTTAGGTATTATTCTAAAGTCTAATTGGCGACATTTAATCATTTAAGACCCATCAAATACACTATACTTTTCTCTTTCAAGCATGACTTTTACTTAAAAATACAACTGTTGAGTTCAATGAAAATATAATATCCTCCTTCATAATTTATTTTATTTTTTACAAGCCTATGGAAAGATAATTGTGATTGTGATACTTGGTACGTTAACGTTACTCTTGCTCGTTAAGAAGAAACAATGGAAATGCGTTGAAAAGTACATACACTTCTTAGACAGTTTGATAGAAGAACAGAAAGAATAAAATATGATTGTAGAATCTGTATTAATATCGTACTATTGAAATACGACCATAAAATAAACATTTTATTATTTTACCTACACATACTATCATTTTTTTTTTATTTGGAAAAATATTATTTTATATTGACATGTCCTACATCGTGTTGACACAGTCACGACATCTTACGGATTTTCCATCAAACCGATAACTGTCAACGTTCTCACACACTATCCAGAGTATACTCTATTCCCTTTAAATGTCCTTTATACTTTCTAATCGAAAACTTTTCAATTTGTGGCCTAGAACTTAATTTTAGTAAATGCGAGCTCTATATTCTCAACATAGTCAATGAAGAAAAATCTATGATTTCCATATTAAATGCTCTAGCTCCAGGAATAAAAAATATTTGTACGCCCTTTTATTTATATTTCATTGCTCTCCTTTATAGACTCTCGTATTTGTGATGAATATTTAAATCAATTGACAATTCTTTTACCTACGGAAAACAGACGCCAAACGTCAAGCTCCACTTTTATTTTTGAATCCTATAACATACTTGCTGGAACAGAACGACCGACACTCCCGAGGTTCCTGGAGAGTACTATTTGTCTTTAATATGATGTAAAAAAATTATAAGTCTAGGTCAAATAGTTTCGGAGATATAAAATTACAAAGTTTTTGTAAAAAAATGAGTGTTTTCAACCCTGAGTCAGCTGTTTTTGGGACGTAATAAGGAAAAGTTTTTAATCGGTCATTGACTTCTTCATTTCTAAAAACGAAATAAACTAGTTTGTGATTTATAAGACTGCTTTCATGCAAATTCTACCAGACAATCAATAAAGAAGGCAGTCAAAATGCTTAAATCGATTTACAGACCAACAGCCGGTTTCTGATTTGAAAAAAGTGGAAAATTTCTACTGCTTATTCTCAATAAACTAAGTTTTTTAATTCACAAAGCAAATAGTCCTAATTTTATCAAACTGCTATCAACTAATCTTCAAAAAACTAAAATCGGAAACGTAAAACTAAATGATGTTAGTTTGAGACGTTTAACTTTAAATTCTCAATTAAGAAACCGAGTGTAAAATTTCCTAAATTATTGTAGAGAGATCAATCTAACATTAACCTACGTTATTTTAAAAGGGCAGTTCTCCAAAAAAAAATGTTTGAATGGGGTAATACTCCTTTAACAACGGGATCGTTAATTAAACTCGATACACTCACAAATCTTTCAGCGATTCATCAATAACACAAATCAACTTTGTGTTAAAAAAAAACATTGAGGAATTTGTTATTAAAATAGCATTTAAAAAGAACCTTAAAAAATGCGTGATATCAAAAGACGAATAAAAAAATGTGAACCGAGTTCGTCCCTCGATATCAAAGCCCCACCCGCCCGCCAACCCGCAGGCGGCTTCATTCTTCTGTCAGTATTGTCCGGCCGATCAGTCGCCGCCGACCTTTTGCGCTGGAGTGTTGTTGCGCATCGCTGCCGACGCACCGCTGTGTAGCGTCTTTTTTGTCGATTTTTGTTTTGTTCTAGTGCATTTTTAATTGAATTTTTGTTAATAAGATACTAGAGTGTTCGTCTTGAGTGTTAAGTTTAGTTTAGTGAAGATTGTGTTTAGTTTTGTGTGAAATGTGATGTGTTTTGCGCGTGCATGCACCGGCATTGAAAAGAGCATGCTTAGCTCAGTCTTCAGAGAGGAAGTGGCCATTTTCAGCATCGACTATCATTAAGATATCGGTAAATAATTAAATTAAATTAATGTGTTTCGCGGTTCGTTGTAATCCGCGCACAATCGATAATGCGCATGCGCATTATAGGGCTGTCAACACTTAGAAATTTAAAATTTTTACTCCATTTTTACACCTCCTCTATTTTTAAATATTTGTCAAATAAAATGAACGTTTGCATGTGACCTAACTTGAAACTTTCGGCTGTGTCGGTCATTTTGTTCCCCCC